TGTGTTGGTTGCCCCTAAGAATGAAATCCCCTGCTGGCCCCTTTGTGCCAGCATAATTTTCTCTAACAGCTTGCCTAGGATTGAAGTAAGACTAACTGGCCTATAGTTTCCCGGGTCCTCCTTCTTACCCTTTTTGAAGATGGGAACCACGTTGGCCCTCTTCCAGTCCTCTGGCACCACACCAGGTGAAGGCCATAGTGGGCTGGGTTGGGGATACACTTGTGGCAGAGGGCCCTGAGTTGAGCCAAGCCACGGTGCCCAGCAGCACCTCTGCTGCAGCCCTCAGATGTAAAAGTGCAGAGCCCCCCAAAGCGTGGGGCACAGGGGCAGTTGCCCCAATTCAACATACCCTAGGGACAGCCCTGAGTCTACCCACAGTTTTTTGCATTGTTGTAGCTAATCCCAAGACAAGGAAACCCTGTCCAAAACCTGGATGTAGAACTGGCTTTCTGGTCCGAGTGTAGACCTGGCGGCTCTACTCTGATGCCCAGCACAAATCATGAAAGTTTTTGGTGATTCCGTTGATGCCTTTCTACAATGAGGATGATGATATATACCTGCCAGCAGGCATTTGGGCAGGGTTTCTGAGTTAGTATTTGCTTAGTACTTTGTAGGCATAACATGCAATCTCACTGCCATGTGTTACTATTGTAATAATCAGCACATCACTCATGACGAGTCTACAATTAAATCATAGCTGCTAGTTTTGCTTATGATGCCTGGTTAGAACTCAACTCTGATTCCTGAGTTGCTTGTAAGTTTAAAACAGAAGGAAAAAAACCTTTTGTTCTGAAAAGAGACTGCTGTGACTGAAAGTTGGATCTGTTGAGGAGTAAGTTTTCAGGTTTTTTTTAAGATGATTTTTCCATACAAACAGGATTAACCACTGAATATAACTATCTTTTTTTTAAAAAGAAGATAAACTGTACCATTAAGGTATTAGATCTGAAAAGCAGAACCAAGAAAGATTACATGCATTTTGGCCTGGTGACCTGGCTTACTGTAAGTAGTAGTTATGCATGTTTCTACCTTTAGATAAAATTGGAGAGCACAGGATTGTTCAAAATGAAGAACAATAGGTAGGGGTCTACCAAATTTGAGGGCAGATCCCAGGGCTGGCTGCAACTTTTTTTCTGGGCTGAGCACAACCCTATCCCTGCCCCTCCCACCCCCAGCTTCTGTTTGGCTAATGGGCCCCAGCAGTTCTGCCCCTCCCTGCAGATTGCCAGATGGACCGAAACTGTAGCTTAATTTCCATGATTAAGTCCAGGGAAGCCATTAATCCATGCATTAAGTTTGGAATAATGGCTTCCCTGGGTTTAATCAGGTTAATTAAATTGTAGTTTCGGGCCATCCCCAAGCAGGGAGGCTGCAGGCAGCTACACAGGGTCCTGGACTGGTTGTGTCAGGCAGCTGGGAGGCTGCAAACGGCTTTGCTGGGGTCTGTGGAGCCCCAGCGTGGCTCCTTGCTGGCAGCAGGTGCATGCATGCAGTGAGCTGGGGTGTGACACTGCGGGCCTCAGTGCAGCCACTTGCAACCTCCTGGCTGCCTGCCATGGCCAGCCCCAGACCTCGGTGCAACTGCCTGCAGCCTCCCTGCCTCCTGCTGGGAGCAGCCCCACCCTGCCCCCTGTCTCCCCCCACCATGCTTTCTGCTTGTTGGTAAATTGTGCCTTTTGTTTGTTTGTGTTGCAGTGAGCCTGCCACTTTTCATGGACCTCACCTGATTTCACGTTTTGCGCAACTCGCCCCCCCCATCACCATTTTGATAGGTCCCTAACAATAGGACTAAGAGATCTGAAAGAAATGTATGTGTGTATGGGGAAGAGTATCTGTTCCTATCCAAATTCTTTTACCTAGTTGTTTAAAACAGCTTTGGGGTGCTGTCAAACCAAGGGAGTGACTTGTTAAAGCCAAACCCGATGATTCAGTTGGAAACATAAGGCTCCTCAATTTTGACTGTAAGACCCAGCTCTGCCTTTGGGGTACTTTTGAAGTTGCTTTTTAGCCTGAGGAAATGCTAGGAGAGACCCTTCATTAGCTCTGGTGACCAGTCATGTACCTGAATGGAGGAAAGAGGAACTTATTGGAGCAATCCAACCACTGAATACTTTCTTTGTCTGAGCAGTCTTCCTCCTATAATGAAGATGAGATGTTTCTGAGGTGCTGGGTAGAGGGCATGAACAAGGTGTGTGGCTTTTAATCCTTATAAAACATTTAAAGTCTTTCCAAGGGGGGAAAAAGAACGCATGGACTGTATTCATCTTTATCCAATCAGGCAGAAGACCTCCGACATGTTACAAGGCAGGCCTAAACTTGTTCTTTGTTTCTGGTGAAGTTGCTACAAGACTATTTATCTAATGTCCTCAGGGCTGTGTTGTATTTCTCAGCTCTGGTGCTGCTAAAAGGGAATTTTACTACTGAACGAACTGCTCTAGTTCAGGGGCTGCAAACCCTCATTGAGGGCAGTAGACATGTTGTATCCTGTCATGAGGCAGCTCTTAAAACCTGAGCTTAGTTCTTAGGAGCTGCTAAATAATCCCGCTAGAGATATGGTCTTTGCAGGTGACGTTCTCCTTTCTGTACCTGTGTGGAAGTCCACCACTGGAAGACAAAGATGATTCAAAAGCTGTGTATGGGACACGGTATGTTCAAGTGGGCCATCAGGTCATTTAGGATTAGAATGGGTTGTCCATGAAAAAAGAAAAAGCACTTATATAGCAGTTTGTAAACCCAAGATCTTAGGAATTACTACAAGTTTTACACATACGCGCTCTGGAATCGCTTCACTATTGCTGTTCTGCATTCATCTTGGGGTGATGCACAGAAGCCTATTTAACAGCACATCGCCATGCTATTTTACAAACTTAAAAGGAATGTTGCTTCCTATTGAATCTCATAGAGAATTTTAGGTAGGCATAAAATACCATATGCAGGTAGCCAAAATAATTATTACCATAACAATTTATATATGTGGTAATAAGTATTACCATACCAAATAATAATTGCCATACCAATTTAGACAAAATAACAGGGCCGTCATCCTATTCTTGTGAACGTTGTTAAGAGATTTTTAAATACTGCAAGCAGTTAGGACTTTGAATTTACCTTTTTTCCTGGAACACCAAACATCCCTCACAACATGGAGTCACATTGCATCAGTACCAAGTTAGAACAAAAGTGCCACCTATTGACACTTGGAATTTGGGATGTTCTGTGGGACTGTCCCTTCCAGGTACGGATAGGCCCCTGTTTGGGTGACGATGAGATCCCCCAGCTCCGTATGAAGGCCAGTATATAGCTACTTGGGGTATCCAGTCTAGTCTGGGTGTTTTGCAAGACTTCTGTGCAATGCCACCATTTACTATCTTAACCAAAGTGGGCTCTGCGGCTTGTTTTGCCAGTTTCTTGGACGCTTCCCTTGGCAGTCTATTTTTTTTTTTGTGAAGATAATTTCATTGGATGAAACTTTCTCCTTCAGAGAGGACCAGCATGAAGCATTGGTACTTCTTAAGCCCTGTTTTACAGGCTTTGTGCTGGCCCTGATGAATCTCACCCACTGAAGAGAATTTTTCCTCAAAGTTTGCCTTAACTTTTACTTTGATATCTTCTTCCACTCAGTGGAGCTACAGTTCAGGTGAAGTGTTAATGTTCTGGTAGCTTTGAAAATCTTTCACAATATGAAAACATGAAAAGTTTCTGCAGATTTCCATTTTAGATGGAAGCTCTACATGTTAAACATGTTATCATTTTGTGTTTCCCTCTGCCCCCCTCACAAGCAACAGGGCAGCTTTACAGCATCACATCTTTAATAAAAATACTTTTTGCTTCTTGCCCAGGAGCTGTGACAGCAAAATATTGTTCTGAAACTTTTCCGCCAGCCTTGGAGTCATTGCAAGCCACCAAATGTTAAGTGAGTTTTCTTCTCTATCCCTGGAATCTCTTGAGAGAATCCAACCCAGCCTGGGCCAGTATGTCTTTTAAATCAGAGCTTTTTCAACAATTGCTCTCCTAGGCTTTCTCAGGATCCCGGAGTACCCTGATTTTGCGTAGGCTGGAAAAATAGACAGTGAGCTTGGCTGGCTCTGGAGGGTGTAAGTTTACAGCAAGGTAGGGCAATAGTTCCTGAGCACTGGGATGGTGGAGCATGTCAAATACCTGAGGAGAGCTGGTCTGTAACTTGGGCTGGATCCAGAACCCCTTAAGTCTGTGTGATCTTTTTGCTGGCTTAATTGGGCAGTGAACTGAGCCCTGGTTGGTATTTGCGCTTCTTGCTTCCACTTCATAAATTACACTATAACAAAAGCAAAAATCTGTATATTAAATATGACTTGCTTTAAGAAATCGCTGTAGCCACCCCAGGAATATGTGCTGATTAGAAATAAGGGCAGGTGCCCTTTGGTTATTTCTGTAGGATGTGGTTCAGTCTGACAAAATGAGAATCATGAGGTAGGCTGTGCCATGATGGCAACCCAGTTGAGGGGTTTGCTCTTTTACGTGTAACCTGGGTGCACATGAGTGTGTGCTCCCCTCTCCAAACAGAAGAGACGAGTGGCCAGCCAGGAGTGCCGTGGGAGGGATCTGTAATATAGGACTGTTCCCTATAGAGTTAGGCCAGGACACAAATAGCTTAACTATATACAGGTTTATTAATATACATATAACCCAACAAGTGATATTAATAAATGCATACAATATATAGTTTTACATATAAGGCTATATTCTATAATTGATGAGTAGGAAATTATATCACAACCAATGGGCTCAAACCCAGGACAGGTTAGTAACTGATCTGAAACAGGTAAGCATAGGTAAGTGCATGCGCGCGCGCGCGCGCACACACACACGTTAAGCAACTCACATTAGAAATAACAAAATATAAGGCACTACCTACAAAATATGAGGCGCCTGCACACCCTTCAGGGTATCAACATCACTGTGAGTACTGGAGACTCCCCTTTGATGCCAGAGGCCTTGGCACAGCTCCAGAAGGGGAGAAAGAAGGGGCCTCAGTACCTCTCAGCCCCTCATGGGCT